GAGATATAATGACAGAAGTAGGAACTTGAACCCAATTTTTTTTTTACTGATATGTCAAATTCAAAATGGAAATGTCCACAACATGCATGCGCATGACATGGTGGCCAACGTATGGAAGTGCGTGATCATAGCGCCATCACCCACATCCAGTGTGGAAACAAGTGAGTGAACCACAAATGAAACACGCAAAAAGAAATAAAATTGAACATGTACGGAAACCTAAATTGCTGCCACAGCAAAACGGCAAGCAGAGGGATCAGTAAAGGCACACAGCTACAAAATCCTGACATCTGCATTATATCTCTCGGCGATGGGATTTAGTGAACTTCTTCACAAAAACTGCAAGGTCTCCGGTTCCCCCCCTTGCAGATGATGCGATCGGGGAAGAACGAGTAGCTGCCAAGGGCGTGGTAAGCTTGAGGCGCCTACCACAACACAGCACGAACACGAGATGTCATGCCCCGTAGTAAGCGCACGAGCATAGAACGTGCACCACAAATGCTATCCACAAAAAGGGACTTGAAACCGTGTATAGAGCACTGGATGCATTCCAATACAGAGACTGAAAAGACCTCTTTAAACCTCTGTGTCTCCATTCTCTGGATCAGTGCCCCGTTGGCGAGAAGGATGTGCACCCATGCCTCGCGGATGTTGTCCTTTTTGTCCTTTTGTTCACAGTTGTGGGACAACAATGGTGAAACACTGCAGAAATGTGGTGTTCCCTTCAGCCATCGTTTTGGTAAGTGATGTGAAACCGCGGTCAAGGCTGTCTGACAATTTTGCCGCTTGGATGATGATTGCCCTAACCAACTCACTCGTTGCAGCACAAAAGCTCTCACATTGCTTGTAAATAGCCTCCATGGAATCACACAGCGGCTACCACCCTCTCCCCCCCCTCTGTCCCCCCCCCTCTTCATTGGGACTTCGTTTTAGCTTCACCATCACTTGCCCCCTTTCCTTGGGATGAACCTCCTCGATCGCCCATTTCATCGGCATACGGCCTCCCTTCGCTTACACCATCACTCCTCATAGTAGTAGAGTTCGACATGCCATTGCAAGCCTTCACAGCAGTGCATCGAAGCAAACTTAATTGAATGTCGTTGGCAGATTTTTCGTCCGACATACCATTGCAAGCACCCATGGCCGTAGCCAACTTCCACAGCAGAGCATCGAAGAAAACTTGTTGGAATGTCGTTGGCAGATTTTTCTACCTTCGCTCGTCAAGCTCTCCCAAAATGCTTCGCACCAGATCTCCCATTGTAGTTTCTGGTCTTCTTCACTGCCGACAACGGGTCATGGTAACACCGCTTGAAGTCACAGGCATCTTGCCGAAACCGTGCTCCGCCATGCGCTCCTCCACCCATCCGAACGTCTGTTGCCGATTGTGCATTTGCTGACGACCCCTCTTTTGTTTTCGGAGCAATGTCATGTCGCGTAAAACGGAGCAGCACAATCATTTCCTCGTAAGTGCACATGTTGCCCCACACCCTCTGCCTCGCCCCCCCTCACCCGCAACCACCGCACCCTCGCATGTGCCTGTGTGTTGGACAACACAAACATGTATTCCGACTGCATGCACTGTTCCATTCGTTCATTCGGTGTGTCACTGGTACCCACACCGCCTGAATCCATTGTCGCATGAACGAGTGGAGCCGAATGCGTGGGATGTTGCATGAACGAGCGTAGCCGAATGCATGGGATGCCGACCCTGGAATCCTGCATGCGAGGCCGTGTCCACATGTGGTTGCATAAGATCTCCCTCTGCTGAGGCGACTGGAGGTTCATTCATGGATAGTACATGTGTGTGCACATGGGCAGAACTGGCAGTTGTTGTGGAAAAGGGTCGTGAAGCGTGCGTGCTCAGGCCATATGCTAGTCATATAGACATGGATTCCATCAACACACTACCACACATGGCATCCTGTGTGTGTGGGAATATGGCAGAGTGGAGGACACATTCATCTCTATGCAAAGGAAAGAGGGCAGGTGTGGTATGCTCTTAGCCATTTCGTGAATATAACTGGTGCAATTGGCCGTATCATATGCAGGCACAGCAGTACACATCAAGAGTGGCATTGGATGCTGCCACTGATTGCACCGGTTGCAGAGACACGGTCAGCTATGTTCCCTACATCCTCCTCTGTGACTGGTGGCCACTTGAGGTTAGAGGATCCTGAGCAAATCTGGTGCCCTGACAACAAAAGACGACGATCGGGGAGAGAGAAAACTGTGAGGATTGAGCCCTCAAGTAGGGGCCTTGCCATGATGTACATGTTCTGGGCTAAGGCCCCAGCAAGCCTCGTGTCCGCCCTAAGTGAAGGCGGGCCAGCAAATCAACTAGAGCCCTCTGTACAAACATTTCCCGAAGTGGGGTCCATACAGTTGCAGCACGCCTGTTGGTTGGAGTGCACCGAGTCTCAGATTTCTGCAAATGTGGAAATCCCAGGGCCTCTGAGTTAGTTAGGCCCTGGGCACTTGAACGTGAGGCCGACAATGCATGCTGGGTAGAGAGGCCGAAAATGCCAAAGGGAAATCGGCCACTATCTGAATCTGGCCGCAGGCCTTGATGAAAGAGGCGCAACTGCRTTGCCCCGGGCCTCAACTGTATCGGGCTGGGTTCAGCCACTGGGGCCCAGACGCAGGCTGAAGGGAGGCCGCCCACACGCAGCACTGGCATATAGGCAAGCAGAGCGAGTGGGCAGGGATCTTGGCCAATGCAAGCATTGCGGGCACGCTGCGCTAATGCATGTGTGCTGCGCTGTGCAGAGCTGCGCTGCGCTGAGGCGAAGCAGGCTAGCGCTAGGCGGTAGGGCGCTGCCTGCACACAGGGCACTGGCGGCCATAGCCGGGTCGCATGAGGGTGCAGTGGAGGTGAAGGGCGAAGGTGGTTCTTCGGAGGTGAAGGGCGCTGTGTGGGTACAAGGGAGAGTGTGGGTGAAGAGGACACGTACCTGGTGGAGGTGGAGGTCGGCATTGGTGTTGACATCATCACTCRCTGGTAGTCAAGTTGTCTGGTTGCTTTCATTGCTGTAGTTGTAGGCTTAGTCTGTAGAGTAGATAGGGCGTCTGACGCCATTCATAAGAGAGAGCTACATTGGGTTATGCTGTTGGTGTTGCCCTGTTGGGCATGGATATTGACTCACGATTCTTCTGTATCATTCTCAATTGGATGGTTACTCGGTTCCATTGTGCTATCTGCTCTGGCTTTGACTACTTGGACTTCAGTGTGATTTTGCATTC